ATTCCCTAGGGAACTAGCCTCAAAGTACGACTTTCTACTTTTGGTGAAATATTTAGAATCACTTGACAATGATATATTCATTGGAGTCATTTCATTATGACAACTCTCACGCAAGAGTGAGTTCATGTTGAAGAAACTTGAGGTTTCGTTATAAAATTAAGGGAATTTTAACGAAAAATTTCCGATGCTGTTCACTTTAACGAAAAGCCGCATTTTTACACTAAAAAGTAAATTCTTGTACTATTCACTTTACCCTTTATTTTGTCCTTATCGTTAAAACTTAAAGTTTTCAAGCATTTTTCATTAGTTTTCCTTAAAATTAATTGTTTATAAAAGAAGTAGCTTAACTTACTTATTAGTCTTGTAAGGTTTATTCTTTTTCTGATATAAAACTCTTTAACCTTCATATCCTCACACGCCCTCTTATGTATGAGAAAATTTTCAAGCCAAACACATGGGAAACAATTTGGTGACGTAGAGCACGTGCGGCCATTGGGCAACACACTTGGACCAACTTGCTCTGATATCATAAAAATAGTTGAAATTCAACCATAAAACCAATTGGCAATATGAACAGTAATACAACTATATATAAGCATATGCAAGGTCCCTCGTTTCTCAGATGTGTGATCAATACTCTCAGCATGCCCCTTCATGTGTGACGAATTTTCATGTCTAATACGTAGACAACTCATTTGGGTGATGTGGATCACCTGTAGCTGTTGGGCTTCACATGTGGACAAACTTGCTTTGATATCATGAAGAAAGTTAAGGTTTCATTATAAAACCAAATGGCAAGAGGGGCAGTAGCCCAACTACTTATAAGCACATGTAAGGTCCCTCATTTCCCCAATTTTAAGATTGATAAACACGCCCCCTCACGTATGGCGAATTTTCAAGCCTAGCATGTGGGCAACACAATTGGGTAGCGTGGAGCACGTGTGGCCGTTGGGCTTCACATGTGGGCCAACCAACTTAGATACTACGGAGAAAGTTGAGGTTCCACCGTAAAACCAATTGACAATATAGGGAGTAGCCCAACTACTTATAAGCACATACAAAGTCTCTTATTTTCCTGGTGTGAAATTGATATCTCAACACGTGTGAGGTCAAGTAAAATATATAAAATCTCATATTTCGTGAGATATGCTCTTTTAATGACATGGTCAAACACCCCTTCAAAATTAACTCTCCTCATATTCATCTCACATGATAACGGTTCTGCTTCCGCATGCTGTGATTTTATACATGGCAAATTACTGATCAATAATTTATCTAATACATAACTTGCAACATAATCATCATCAAATTTTTTATAATTTTAATTTTATCCATATCTGTAGCAATTTGCCATGTTCAATTATTATTCATTAATATCAGTGTGTGATACTCTTCACCCAGCTAAACCGCTAAGAGCTACCCTTTTATATACACTGCAAGTCAAAAAATGCAGCTCTGCTGAAGTTCTTAAATAAACCCAGATGACCGCTCAGATCATCGTCTTCCTTGCCGACTCGCCGACTCATCCTCTCACTGATTCTTATAAATGGACACCACACTGAAGAAACAGTCAAGCTAGCTAGCCAGCCATGGCCATGACTTCAGCTTTCCGCTGCCCCACACTTTTTTGGCTAATTATCTTCTTTTTTCAAGTTTTCTTCGTTCTAACCTTCTCACCCTTGCTTCGTGAAAACAATGTCATTATTCCCTTTGTTTCCTCTTTCAATACTATTACTACACCTTTCAATCTGACAAAGAGCAACTACACATCCCTACCTCAAGTTTCATATTTTGATGAGCTTCTCACAAGCTCCATGTATCGAAGGAGACACAAGGCTAATCTTACCAAAGTAAGCATTTCAATTTCATTTTTCAGGTTAATAACAGTTACAATTTTCAAAACTTGTTTAGTAACTGTTTTCATTTTTCAAAAAGTGACCAAGCCAATTTTGGAAAATTCATCACAAAAGAGAGCTTTATGTTTTAATTATTTTGAACAAAATGATTATGAAATGACCCCCAAGTGTAATCCTTCTCATGTAGTTATTAGAATCAAAACGATGGTAATTATCTTGATAAATTAATTAATTTGACTAATACTTGATTTTAGTGGATTTAATCTTGGTGATCAGGGTAAGACTAGTTTGGATACAATTGAAGAAGGCTTGGCCAAAGCACGAGCAGCAATTCTTGAAGCAATTCAGTTTAAAAAGTATGCATCACAGAAAAATGAGACTTTTATCCCAAGAGGAACCATTTACAAAAATCCCCATGCTTTTCACCAGTTAAGTAATTTCAAGATTCTATGTACAATACGAATTATACTCTTCTCTTTTTTTTCTTTCTAAGTGATCATTTGCTTTGACCAATTAAGAGGGTTTTCTTACTAAGGTTTACTTAAAGTTTGAATGGCTAGATTACGATTGTCAAACTTCAGCCGTGCAACTCCAATCATCCACTGCACCAGTGCATCCTATACATTGTCATTCGTGCATTCTAAAGTTTTTGCTAACCATAATATGCATGGTGCAAGAGTCACGTACAGATGATGAAGAGGTTCAAGGTGTGGAGCTACAAGGAAGGAGAGCATCCATTAATACATTTTGGTCCAATGAATGACATATATGGAATCGAGGGACAATTCATTGATGAAATAGAGAGGGAGGGAAGCCCATTCCCTACACATCCTGATGAGGCACACACATTTTTCCTTCCCTTCAGTGTTGCCAACGTTGTTCACTATGTCTACATGCCTATCACTCGGAAGCAAGATTACCATCGCGAGCAGCCTGCAACGGATTGTCTCCGACTACATCAGCGTTGTGGCTGGTAAATATCCCTACTGGAACAGAAGCAACGGTGCAGACCATTTTATGGCTTCATGTCATGATTGGGTACGTATATATGTTGCTTCAACTGTGTCATCAAATTTTTTATTTATTTTTCGTATGAACTGTATTGACACTCTGAAATAGTCATGTCCAAAATCTCTTATTTTGAGACAACTAGTATTCATTCGTAACTCAGGCGCCGGAGGTTTCAATTGAAAATTTTGAGCCTTTCAAGAACTTTATTAAGGTTCTTTGCAACGCCAACACTTCAGAAGGATTTCAACCTAAAAGAGATGTCTAACTGCTTGAAATCTACTTACCCAAAGAAAATTTGGGCCCACCCAATTTGGGTCAAGCCCCAAAGAGCTGCCCAATTCTAGCATTCTTTGCCGGTCGGATTCACGGACCTGTATCTTGCTGGATCATTGGAAGGACAAAGATGATGAAGTTCAAGTCTACGAGAAGCTTTCCAAGGGCCTAATCTATGGGGCAGAGCAAATTTTGCTTGCAAGCCCAAGAATTGTGGAGGCAATCTATGCAGGGTGTGTGCCCGTCTTAATTTCTGACAATTACACATTGCCCTTCAGTGATGTGCTTGATTGGAGCAAATTTTCAGTACAAATTCCAGTTGATAAGATACTAGAAATTAAGACCATCTTACAAGCAATTCCATTCGACAAATATCTGAAAATGCAGAAGAGGGTGTGTAGGGTTCGTAGGTATTTTGTGCTAAACAAGCCGTCTAAACCGTTTGATGTAATTCACTTGGTGCTTCACTCAGTATGGTTAAGAAGACCTAACTTTAAGCTCGAGAATTAATTGTATGTATCAAAATAACTTTTTTCCACTTTGCTTGTTTGATGTAAAACTGAGGCCAACAATGAAAACTAGGCCAATAGGTGACTTGCAATTTCGAAATAATAAAAAACGTCATCTTGTTTTCAATATTGTCATTTTTCCTTCTTTCACATACGACGTGTACAAGATCCAAATTTGTCTATAAATTCCTTGCGAGGCAAATGAGTTGGCTAGTGGCCATATGAATTTGAATTGTTTCCTTGTACAAAAAAGAAAATAATATTTACGATTCTCCTTTTCAACCATGATTTGCCAAGATTCATATTCCTAATGGGTTTCATATGCATATGGCGAAACGGAGATTACAAATATAAATTGGTAAATTCTATTGTAAATAGAGTTATTGTATAAATGTAATTGTGTAAATTTAAATAAAATATAATAAAAACTGGGAGATCTTATCATTATATTTGTACTATTCGAAAATTTACTGTAAATAAAGGCCCGAAACCTATAAAAAAAAATCACAATCTCAAATCAGCTGAACCCTTTCTTACTCTCAAACAAATGCATATATTACAACCTCCACGTACCAAATTTTCCTTTATGTATTTCATAATTAACCAGTAATAATTAATACAGTGAGTGTAACCTTTAAATAAATTAAAGACTAAAATCAATTCACTCGCACGGCATATTGTATTTTGATTAATTCATTACTATGCTACATAAGTAGGTCCCACACATATTGCACGTATGTTTATCACTCCCCATACCAAATACAGTGTTCTTTCTCCACCTCCTCCCTCCATTTTTTTCTCCTTCAAAGAAGTAAGAAAGAAAGTAAATCCATGGCAGAATTCGGTTCTTCTACTCACATTGTTACTGCACTGCTACCAACTCTTTCCCTTTTCCTTTTATTTATCTTTTTCTTATCTCCATTAAACCAAACCAACCTTGCCAATATTATTTTCTTATCACCATCATTGTTGCCATCGTCACCCATTTCATCACCACCATCGCCGTTACCGTCGTATTTGTTGTCAACTGATGACTCAAGGAGTTTCATCAATATTGGAATAGTGAAGGAAGAACGTAAAAAAGTACGCCTGTCAATGTATTTTTATTCTGTTTTTTACTTTAATCAAGTATTTTTAGGCACATGAATACAGAAAATGATTTCCACACTCGCTCATCTTTTATTTCTAGTCACGACGTTGAATTAAACAATGATCTATAAGGGAATGGAAATAAGCAGAGGGTAAAAGTAGATAAAAGAATGTGAAAATCATTCCCCATGAATGTATGCACATGTTTATCAATTTGTTTTTGTCACCGATCACAATTTTCTCTTGTTTTTTTTGATAGAAAATGAGTAATTTGGAGAGAATTGAAGCAGATTTGGGTAGAGCAAGAGAGGCGATCCGGAAAGCAGTTCATGAAAAGAATCAAACGTCTAATTACAAGGAAAACGACGATGTGATCATCCCAAAAGGATCAGTTTACAGAAACGCACAATCTTTTATCAGTTAAGTTCTAAGCACAATTATCTCTCCATGGTTAATTTTGATTCAGTGATGTTAAACTTTCAATTTGAATTTAATTATCTATTCGAGGTTTGACCTTTGATGACCGTAAAGTCATGGGAAAAATTAATTTTTATCTTTAATTGTGGACAGTTAATTGGCATTATGAACTTCATAATGCTCGTTTATCACGAAATTAAATCCTGTCCACAGTAAAGTTTCCATCGATTCGAAATAAAATTATTGATGCGTGTTAATTGTACGTATGGAAGTGAAAAAAAAATCAGCAGTTGCCCAATTTTTCCATATGAATAATTCGGATTTACAATTTATGTTGTCCTCATCACAACTAAGAGATTTTTCAGTATGACAGAAAACGGTCCGATATATGAAGTGTCATAATATAACTGGTTAAATATTTAAAAAAAAATTAACCATTTATATTATGACACTTGATGTATCAAGTCGTATTCTGAGCACACTAAAAATTTTCGTCACCATTGATTTGAGCATTCAGTTGGTGCAAGAAAAACTTCTATACGGCGGAGACCGTGATAGAATACCAGGGGATGGTCAGGATTTTCAATTTTGGCTTTTGGCTTCTGATAATTTATAGTCTTCTAGATTCATTTTACTCAATTGTCCATTAATTCGATTCAAATTACTAAGCCTATTTTACGCATTCCTGTCGATTTCTTTGCCTTGATCTCATGCCATGCAGCTAGATTGAATTTACCCTAAAATTTGTGAACCTTAATCAATGCATTATATAGTTTTGTTTAGCATAATGCATTAGATAGTTAACCAATCGATTTATCTATGAGAATTTACGTAAATGAATCCAGATACAAACTTATAATCAAAAGTGGAACCCGAGTAACAGGTACGATGTCAATACAAATGCACTAAACGGTGATTTCTATGCGGTTTATCAATCTTATTGAAAGTCAGAAACTAGCTAGTTTAATTTTTGTATATTTTACGTGCTATAGAATTTACCAAAGTCTAACTGAGCACTATGATGATATGTATGATCGATCAGGAGCTACGTAGAGATGGAGAAAAGATTGAAGGTGTGGGTTTACAGGGAAGGAGAGCATCCGCTGGTTCACACCGGGCCCTTGAATGACATCTACGCCATCGAGGGGCAGTTTATAGACGAGATGGAGAGTGGTAAGAGCCGCTTCATGGCTCGCCATCCCGACGAGGCACACCTATTCCTCATTCCTATCAGTGTAGCCAACATCGTCAACACTCTTTACAAGCCTCTTGTCACGTATAACCGTGATCAACTTCAAAGGGTGGTTATGGATTATATCGGCGTTATAGCTGAAAAATACCCTCACTGGAATAGAAGCCGAGGTGCTGACCATTTCTTGGTTTCTTGTCACGATTGGGTTTGCCTCCTTTTCTCTTCTCTATCTTTCGTTGTTGTCAAAGAGAACTATTTGTAATACATTTAATGATAGTATGTTAGAGATAAAATGAATGTGTTGGTCAGTAAATATGGTATAGATAGTTTTGTTTGGTCAATATACTTCATTGTCGATCTATACAAAACTAACTAGTATGTTGGATTTCAGGCACCAGACATTTCACAAGTGAATCCTAAGTTATACCAAAACTTCATTAGGGTTTTATGCAATGCCAATATATCAGAAGGGTTTAAGCCACAAAGAGATGTCTCCATTCCAGAAATCAACATACCGTATGGAAAATTTGGTCCAACCCCGCAAAATACAAGCCTCGACAAGCGTTCAATCCTTGCCTTCTTCGCCGGAGGATCTCACGGCCACATAAGAAAGATCTTGCTTGAGCATTGGAAGGACAAAGACAATGAAGTGCAAGTGCACGAGTACCTAAAAAACAAGAAAGACTACTTCAAGTTAATGGGTAAAGCCAAGTTTTGCTTGTGCCCTAGTGGGTACGAAGTGGCAAGTGCTAGGGTGGTCACAGCAATTTCCGTGGGGTGCGTCCCCGTGCTCATTTCCGACGACTACGTATTGCCCTTTAGTGACGTTCTTGACTGGAGCAAATTCTCCGTTTACATTCCGTCGAAAAAAATACCCGAAATCAAGACAATTTTAAGGGGGATTTCGCCCTCGAGGTATTTGGAACTGCAAAAGAGAGTGATGGATGTGCACCGGCATTTTACTATCCATCGCCCTGCTCAACCTTACGACATGCTTCACATGGTGCTTCACTCGGTCTGGTTGAGAAGGCTTGATGTTTCGTTGCTATCTTGATTTGCAATTATAGGTTGAGAGTTAGTTCTCCCTATTGTTGTAGCCGAGGGTTTATAATTCTTTTTACGTTTGTTGTTTTCTATTCCACTACCTATATACTCGAAATTATTATACTCTTGTCACATGTATAGATAGTGAACAAAATAAAGAGGGACTGAAGAATGCAAATATATGAAATTATCTTTTGATTTTTTTTTTTGTATTTAGTGTTACGAAACTTCACAACGAGTCTCATACGTATATAGACTTTCATGTAACGTAAATGTCACTATGACATTTGATTTTCTTTTGGTAGTTGATGTAAAAAAACACATGATAACATGCTTAATTTTGATATTTTGTAGCAAATAGTATTCTCCATACATATTACATCACAACAACTATTATAGCATCACGAGCCTCCACGTAATTGCCCCATTTCTATAATTATGCTAATAATGTAAAAAGCACAAGGGTTCGCATACTTAAACTCTTTTGCATTCAAGTTCGCATGTCTCTCCTAATTTAAATTAAATTAGAATGATGCTAAAAAGATCATATTTTTCTAGACTATACTCTCTAACTATCAATTGATACATCATATACTTTACAAAATATGATCTAAAAAGATAATTCCACATTTTCATTTAATTAAGCTAGATTATAGTATTAAACTATTGCTCGAATAAATTAAAAATAAAAAAGTAGTTTAGATTTTTCTTTTTGTTTAAAATCAAAATCAAATGGAAACCGGGTGATCTGATACCAAATAAGATCCGACCCACTTGATGACCTAAAGTCGCCGACCCGCCCAACCAGTCCACGCGCACGCTCTTCCATCCTCGTTCTTCTTTCTCAAGCCAAGTGGGCAGCACAGCAGCAACCAACAAGTAAAAGCAAAGAGACTGATATTCCTACGCAGCAGTGAAAAAAAAAGCATCTGCAACGATGGCCGGGACGACGAGTGCAGAGGAAGCTACCGTGAACCTCCCCTTACCCGACCGCGGCACCCCCATTCCTTCCGGCGATCACACCGTCTGGGCCGACGTCTCTCCCCTCCTCGACGTCGCCTGTAAAGGTCAGTGCTTTTCCCCCTTGTTGATTGCCCTAAGCTTGAATCTCAGTTCCTCAGCTGCTCTGTTTGGTTCCCGAGAAAATGAAGGAAAATAGTATAGAAAAGGGATGAAAATCCGAAAGCTTATTGGGTTTTCATATAATATATGAAGTATTGGACTTTCGAATTCGAAGTAAAAACAATTACATAAAGGATAAAACTTTAAGTGAACATAGTAGTTTAAACGTATATTTGTGCAAATTAATGTGTGTGTGTGTGTGTGTGTGTGTATTCTATACAGGGATGCATATCTGTATATGTTGCGAGTGTGCGTGGTTAAATCAAGAGCAGTGATTTTGTTTCCATTAGTTCAATGCGATCGTAAGCTTTCGGCTGTTCTTGAAATCATTGATTGAATGCTGAGTTCGTATGCCGAAGATTGTTGAAATGTCGTAGTGTTTTCTCACGGAGGTTATTTGGATGGCAAAGCTTGTGTTGTTGATTTTCTTTGCAATTAGACTGTGGACTGTGTAAACCTGTATTGCTTCTTTTGTACAGAATAAGTGTAACATTTAAGGCAATAGTTGTGTGTGTATGTATGCGCATATTTTTAGTTTTAATGTAGTTGAGATTGTGGACTGGAATGTCGTTCTACCCGTTTCTTGGGTTCTTGTGCTTAATTTGATTTTCTTTTGATGGATTTTGGCCACAGATCTTCAAGATGGTATGCTCATTCACGGAGATAATTTCAATCTTTTTGCTGCCATGTCTGCCTTAGAGGTACACATTGTCTGCACTTTCTGTAAATGCAGAATTGTTGTAAACTGAATAATTCACACAGAATTTATGATCTTTGAATAAGTTGTTGGGAAACAAATTTAGTGTGAAACTGTTTCTTTCGTATGGATCACGAGGTGCATCGCAATCCAGGACATCAAGAATTAATGAGTTGCACAATCCTTCAGTCTAATGGTTTTGCATTCTATTTATGCGAATTTTGTTTTTCATGTATTAGCTTAGTCTGTATTTAACACTTTCTGTTTGTGTTCCTTATTAGATAATGGACCCAAAGATGGATTCTGGTATGGTATGTAAATATTACTCTGTTGATGAAGCTATTGAGGATGGTGCTGCTCCTGTTCCTACTAGCTTTGATAAAACGGTTGATGTTCAACGTACTATTGATATCATGGATCATCTTCTAGCCTGTGAGGTATATGCTACAGAACTTTCCTTCACTGCTTAGACTTGAAAAACAATCTTTAGATATTGCTAATTTGAAGTAAAGCCTTTTTATGCTCCTTAAATTATACTTTACTTGCTTCCTAATTTCGTAAACCAAATGTCTTGCTTTTTATTTGGAAAAGATGATAACCATATATTTTTATTGTAAAAAATTAGGATCTGCTATGAAATTTATGCAGACATCACTGCTACTTAGGGTCTTAATTTTTATTTTTTCCCCGTTATTTGCCGAAATCTATTCATGATATATGTTTTAAAGCACTACATTTCACAGTGGAATTTGTCTGTTCTACAGTCTGTCCTTTCCTTATGTTTCTATATGTAAATCTTTAAATTGCAGGCAACATGGCACAAGGGTCATTCATTAGCACAAACTGTCTTCTCGTGCATCTATCTTCTCAGGCTTGATAGGACATCTTCACATGCCTTACTGAATTCTTATTGCAGAGTCATACGAGCAACCTGCAAGGCGGTCATTTCAGTTGTCTTAGATGCACGCACTCATGAAGTAAAGTATTTCAACAGCTCTTTTGGCCTATGCTGTTTCAGTATTTCCGCTAAGTTGTAGTTATTTATCTTGTGCCTATGCTGTTTTAGTCCTTTTTATAAATACCTAACTGCTCCCACGAGTGAGTTGTAAATGATTGTTATCCTCAGAGTGAAGTATAGTTTCATGTTCTGGTGACAATTCAGTGCATTTTGTTTTTCAAGCCTAGTCTCTGAATAGTAATTTGCAGTGATGGTATACTTTTATATGTATTTTTGAATTTTGATCAAACTTGTCTCATTGGCAGGAAGAAGACCTTTTTACAATGACATATGGTCTTCCTTTGAATGGGGATGGAGATGAAAAGTGCTTGTCAATGCTACATGCTGTTGAAGAAACAATTTCCCGCCAATTACGTGCCTGTAAAGCACCATCATCGAAAACCAGAGTGTTAGAAGGTAGATATCCATTCATTTTCGCAGAAATATTACTTTTATCTTGAATTATAGCTTGGAACAAAGCACCACCATCATCATATACTTGCTTTTTGTTGCAGACTTGGTGTCACTACAAAATAATTCTGAATTGGAGGAAGGTTACTGCAAGGCTTTGTTATGCCGCTTACGCTTTCGTAAGGTCTTACCCTGTGTTCATTTATCTTATATGCATCTGCTTCATCTGGGGACACATTTCCATGCATTTGAATATAAATGCCCCCATCTTGTAGAAGTTAAATAAAAAGAGCTCTCTTCTTCTTCTTTCAGCATTTTTACCATGTTCTTACATCTATGAAGCGGCCTCAAGGGAGAGGATTGGAGTTGGCCAGAAAACATATAGCCTTCTGCATATCTGAATTAGAATATACTCTTAGCTCTTCAGAGTTCCTTAGATCAAGTACTTTTGGAAGTCATGAAGACAACTTAGAAGATAAAACTACGGCTTCTGGCTGTGAACCAATTGGCTTTGATGCTAGTTTAAACTGTAGATTATCTGCCCCTACACCACCACGTGCAATAAAAGTTCTGAGTTGGAAAAAGGTGAGCATGAGATAGTTGCTACCGATAATTGTAGTAGTTTACTTCCAGTATTATGACATTTTTGCTTTGGTTTTGTTGTACCAGGCTGTTGAATATTTTATTAAACTTCTTCGTGATCTTGATGTTATATGTTCCTACCCATTAGACCCATCATTAGAAAGTGTTTTGCACTTTGTGGTTGAGTTTCAAAAATCTCAGCCAGATTTAGTAGCAAGAGCTCATCTTCAGGTCGGTTGTGTCATTTGTTTCTACTTTATTCTAGATACTCATTGCTAAGAGTTCTGTTGGCATATTTATGAATTATTGACCTGAAACTTTTGAACAGCGTCTGCTGGTTCAAGACGGGAAACTCTATGGTAGGGATCCTGTCTTTGTTGTTATTATTCGAGCTGCAGCATTACCAGAGAGTACAAGGAACCATGATATTCAGAAACAGGAATCTATTATTCAACTGGGACAGGTGAAGTGAATGCTTTCTCTGGACTGATTTTAGATCTATTTCCATTTCTGTATTTTTGGGTTATGATAGTTTCAAAATATGCTCATGTTATGTTATGGAACTATTCATTTGTTTTCTAATAAGGTGGATCAAGGACTATGATGATTTTTCAATTTTAGCTTGTGATTATGCGTGCACGAGAAGATAGAACATTTTTTTTTGGGTACAAAATGGAACAATTAATAAGACTCTCTCTCTCCTTTTAAGCGTGCATGCAACAGAGGGGGAAGGCTGGTTTTAGTTTAGTATGCTTCTAGACACTTGCACTGGGTGCTGATTCTAACATGTGCAATATTTTGGGCACTGCAGCTAGTAATCAATTTGCTAAAAGTTTTATGCACAAATGGTGCATGGCAACGGCGTAAGCTTGGAAAGATTTTACAAGATTGGCGCGTTGTTTTTGTACAGGTATGCCAAACTATCTTCAAATCAAGATATTTATTAGTTTTTCTTTGGTTTCACACTCGTTGAGTTGCTCAGGCCTGATAAGGTATTGTGTTTCTGAAGTGATAATCCTATGAAGCACGTATATCTTGTGTCTATCATTATCTAATGTTTCTGTTTATCGCTCTACTGATTGTCCAATTTGACTGGTGATTGAATTTTGTTTGGATAGTTTTATTTACTTTTTTAAAAAAATGTTGATTTGTAGATAGAGATGGCCTTCAGAAAGGAGTTTGGAGTAAACGCAAACATTTC